CCTATTTTGGTATTTCTGGACTTGACTTTTTGAATGTATTTCTAATTCGTGGAGCACGTTGTATTGGCTGACCATGTGTAACATTGTTTTTGAGTACTTCCTCTCCTTTGTCCTTCGCATGAAATTCCACGTCTTTGCCTGTCTGAGCAAGTCTTTATTCTTTCATATAGCAACATTATAGTTTTCAATGGTAAAGACTTCTAGCTGAGCATTTTCTGTTTGCAGAAGAGTGAGCAGTGGGCGCCAGTCTCTTCTTCTGACTAAGGTCTCAGTTGAGAGAGTCTGCTGTTATTCTGATAGGTATTTCTTTGTAGGTACTGCTCTTTCACCTTACAGCTCATAGGCTGGTCTCTATCCGTGTTAATTGGATCAGGTCGTGGTGATTGTGTGTGTGGTGTCTTCCTGTTTGCGATGATCTCGCTAGGAATCATTTGAGCTCTTGTACTGGATATCTCAATTTTAGCAGAGGCCTGGGAAGTTTTCCTCTATTGAGATCCTCAATAGCTTATTGAACCCTTGTGTATTTTCTTCCTTTCCACCCTCATGGATGTCTAATGATGCTCACATAGGCCTTATCATGTAAGTCCCAACATTCTCGTAGGCTTCTGCTCTGTTTTCTCTTTATTCCTCTGCTCTTTGATGACTGACTTATTCCAATTGAAAGGTGTTTTTATCCAATCCTAAGATCCTTTTCTGTTTGATATACCCCTGTTTTTAACGGCTTTCACTATGTTATGTAATTCCTTGAATAAGATTCTTAATTCCAAAGTTCTGTTTGATTTTTTTATATTCCAACTTTCTTTAGTGAATTTTTCGTTCCAAGTCCGGATTTTTTTAGGTATGGTTTCTTATGTTGTTATACATTTTTTCTTGCATATCATTGAGTTTTTACAATCCATGTATCCAAATTCTTCTTCTGTCATTTTAGTTTCTGAATTTGTTGATTCCATTGTCAAGAGCTGGTATTTCCTTTGGGGAAATTTCTGTTATTCCTTTCTACTGTCCAGAGTTCTTTTGTTGATTCCTTTCCCCATCTGATCAGCTATTGCTTCTTATCTTCTAGATTTTATTGAATACTTTGAAACCATGTCTTAGTGTCTGAGCCAGTAATGGTGGTGTTTGTGGTGGTAGGTGGTGACCAAATACCTTGTATGATGAGTCAATAGTTGCACTTAAAGTGTGTGCAGAATGACCTCCCTGTCAGTGGCGGCTTGCTGGGATGAGCAGACTGCAGTATGTTTGGGTCCTGTAACCAGGTCTTTTCCCTAGAGAGGCACTCTATGCCTAGGTGGGAGGTGGCTTTGGGAACTCCAAGTGTGTCCTTATTCTCCACCCTCAGTGGGAGCAGGTGGGGGAGAGTCATGGGTGGCAGCCTGGGTTGGGTGAGCCTGCCCTCAAGCACAACAAATGCTGCTAGCAGGGGTTACAAGTCTATTCTGTGCCTCCTGGGGCAAAGGTGCCAAGGAAGGGCGCTGACGTGGCCCACGTCAGCTGAAAAATGTGTGGGGTGAGGCTGTTGAGACCTGCAGTCTGGAGGAAGGCCCTTGCTCCTTTCCAGTCTCCCCTATTCTGGTTTCTCTGGCCTAAACTCTTCAGGAGGCAGGACCTCAAGCCAGTGATCTCCCCTGGCTGTGATGGTGGCCAAGGGGGTTCCCTGCCCCAGGATTGCAGCCTGAGCGTGGGCAAGCCCTCCTGTGGAAGGAAGATTGCCCCTCCAGCATGCGTTCTGCCCCTGAAGGCACACAACAGTAGCCGCTCACAAATATCCCTCTGTGCCCCACACTGCAATGTGATCGGAGACCTGGGTATACATTGCAGGCCTGTCCTCTGGAGATCAATCTCTGAATCCGCCAGGAGAGGAGTTGTGGTCCAAGCACCCATGGGGCTGCCCAAGCTGGATTGAATGTCTAATCATCTTGGGATTCTGCCCCACTCTAAAGAGTCACCGGCAATGGGCACCTGGGAGGGCTAGAGATAG